CTGTTGCCTCTTCTTGCAGCTGTCAGACAATGTTTTGTGTACTAGTCTCGGCACCAAGACATAGTTTCGTGAGCCAGAACTGCTGTTCTTGCTACCTTCCAACAACATAAGCTTTCCATAAGACTACTGGAAAAGTCTCCTAGCAAGCCCTGAATGGTATAACAGGCTGCTAAGTGATCACATGGAGTACTCATTTCCGTTGAAAGCGTATCAGGTGGCATTGCCATGAAATGAAATACATTTTGGAAGGCATGGGAGTAAAAGTCCCATTAAAGCAGAAAAGCATCAAAACTACCAGAGCGTTACCTCTGTGTTTGAGAAACTAAGACACATTAGAATACACACACAATTTATATATACATTATAAACAGTATACAATTTTAATGTATCATACATAATATATAAATTAATATGTTTTATATAAGCATTTATAAATAAACAAACACCAACAGCAAATCAGCTTTGACTTGGGTAAGTGCAAAGCCCAAACATTTTAGAAGCACAATTAGATACAGTCACATCAACGACAAATACAGAACTCCATCTGGTGGCTTGACTAAGGAATCTCACGATTCCTTCAATTCTTGTTTTGTAGCTCTTAACAAGAAAAAAAACATCGAGTATTTTGCTTTGGTGTGGTGTTTTGTTTTGGTTTTTTTATTTTATTTTATTTTTATTTTTATTAAAGTTGTCTTCAAGTTGTGTTTGGGGAGGGGGAGTTGCCTGTTTGTTAACAGACAATGTATGGAGTAAGCTAATCCTACAACGTGAGTTTGAGCACAAAACCCAAGATACTAATAAGAGTAAACAAGAAAAACTTATGTGGTCCTGTGAAAAAAAAAACAAACCAAAACAAACCAACTCTATGTGGAAGGACAGAGGTGGCCTTCTGTCCTGTGAACAGGAGGTTTGACTGAACCACCATCTTCAAAGAAAGTTTGCTATGGCCAGAAATGCAAACATAGTTCCTCCCAAGTCATGGCTGTGCACTGTAGCACTGTGTTTTAGACACATAATAGACTAAAATTTCAGGAAAAGGAGATGCAAGCTGATGCAAGATTACTTTTACACTACCAGTATGAGAAACATTTTTAACGCCTCTTCTTAATGGCCACACTTCTCTTGAAGTCCTATGAACTTATTATAATTCTGAGCAGAGGGAATCCTAAAGAAGCCATTTAAGCTTCTGGAACAAATGCTCTGCACCTGAGACTCCATACCTGAATGCAATCCAAGTGAATACGTATGTATGGGAACCTACTCATGTAGGTTCCCAAGCATACTTGAACGGATGGCACTCCCAGATGAGGGCTTCCTCCCATTACATCAGTCTACACTGCATTGCTAATGCAATTCAATTCCAGAATGGACTACAAAAACGCATCCTGTAGCTTGAACGCAAGTCCAAGATACAGCTTACAGCAAGCCGGAGCACATCCATGTGTTCCCAGCCCATGTTTTATATCACCTTATTCTTCACGGACATACGGCTGTCAGACAGACAAGTTGTTTACGGGCTCCCTGGAAAAGGACCAAGACAAGATCTGTAGGAAGCCTGAGCTTCCTTTAAACCACTGACCATGTTCCTAAGGCATCTTGCAGCTGGCGAAAAGCACGCTGTGCTGCAGGCTGTCCTGTGCTGCTAAGGACAATATAGGCACATTATGTCTCCTGTTCTTGGACTCCGCCAAGATCACCAGTTTTGAATAAAAGATATTTCTCTACTAAATGCTGGACCAATGCCAAATTTCATTCACATGAACTACTGAACATACCAGATGGTAAAATCTTTGTTACAACCCACTTGGGCTGAATTTAAACAAATCAGTTATAAACAGCCCAGAGCTAAAAGAGGGTTTAGTCAAAAGTGAAAACAGCTTACTGAAAGATTTCTAGTTTTCCCACTGACAGCTTACCATTTTTGCTTCCTCCTGATCTATATTTTCAAACACCGCAACCTTGTAGTCTCAGCTTACAAGGAAACTTACAGCAAGGAGCATCAAGTTATTTCAGAAAAATATTATTTTTGCACAATACAGAAAAGACACATGCTTTAATAACACAATCACTTTTAAATATAAATATGGCAGTAGTGCCTCCAGTGGCTTTCGGACACAGAAGTAGCCTCCTGCCTCCCCCCAGAACAACATAAACAAGCCTGAATTTAAGATTAATTTGAATATTTACCAGATTTTCTCTGCCGTCGTCCAAGTAAATCTGTTACTGTTTTGCGGAATAGTTTAGCTTCTTCTTCATTAGCAAAATTAAGACCAACTTGACATGTCTGAAAAACATTAATATTCCCCCGCCCATGACTAAGAAGATGTTTCAAAGGGTTTCTTAAATGTCTTCTTACACCTTCTGAAGGTATAATCAGAAAAAAATCATCACTGCTAATTTGGAACTAAGTCTTAGTGAAACATTCTACCTTAGGAACGTCTGTCTACTAACCAAGTTTCTAGAGATCATGGCTAACAGATTTGAGCAAAATCTTGTAGCTTGAATTCAAAGTGGGGAGAGAAAAATTTGTGCTTTAAGAATATACGATAGTTCACAAACATCATCTGCAAGTCAAAATGTAATTTCACTAAAGGAAGCTGAAAATAGAGAACTGCATTTCATGCTTCTGTCCTATGGATTAAGTTTTCTAGTTGAGATTTAAAAAAATCTTTTTATAAATAAACTTAAAAAGCCTCAAGGAACACAGGTAATATTGTACTTTTACATATAATTTACAGAATGAAATAAAAACCTCAGTTATATTAAGAGAAGCTACTGTTCAAATAAAACGCATTTTTAAAATAGGTATTCAAAGACGTTGAGACTCACATCTCCAGCAAAGGTATGAAAATATCCTCTAGGACTATTATATACAAAGTTATTGTACAGCTCCTGCTCCCACAGTAATTTTCCATCCTGAAAAGAAGAAAAAAAAAATTTTGAAAAATTTGGATGAATTGCAAAGTTTAAGTTCTTTCACAATAGAGTTCTTTCACAATAGAACCTATTAAGAGTTGGGAAGCTGCATGGTGTTAAGCATCTACCTTGCTATTAATCCAATGAATGATTGGAAAAAACAATTGCAACTTGTGGAAGAGCTGTGGAAGACTATTGCACCAGGTCACTGTGTTCTGTTCAAATTCCCGGATGTTTTTATAAAAACATCCTTCAACTTCTGCAATCCTGCAATAGTGATACTGGGAGCAGTAATAGTGACCAGTCATAGGAATACAGAGGTAACAGCAATAGCAATAAAGGAGACTTCCAGTCTCCTGTTATTATCTCAGGCTTGTCTTGAAAACAGTTAACTTAGAGGGAGCAAAAATCTCGCCTTTTTAGGAAGCTTTATACATTTAAATGACATTATAGTTCAGCATCCAAGGAACAGGTTTCTCACTAAGTCCAACAGTCAAGTGACCAAATCACAAAGTCAAATGCAAGTGTCAACTGGCAATCCTGAACAAATCTGAGAGACTTCAAGCTCTGAATGCTGACAGATAACGAACGAGCTGTTCCTAGCTGTTGAGATAACGGGAAGCTTTCCAAAGCCTCAGTGAAGTCAGTAGGACTTATGCTTCTCAGTTTCATTTTTGTTATGAAAACACATTTTGGACACTTCATCTCTTAGTTCTCACTGTCTTGAGTGAAATACTGTAATAGGACAAAGATCTTCAGTATGAATGTATATATTGTGGAGGGAAAAAAAAATAATTGTTTGTCCTGCAGTTTGCACATGCACCACACTAATCAAAAAGATTGTTTCCACCCGCACAGAGGACAGCATCTACTTTGTTAATATCATCCAAAGTAGTGACACCCACTAGAATTTTGACAGCTACCCGTATCAGTGACGCTGTACTCTTTCACTAGGTTGACTAATCAGATCTGTACAAGACAGCTTCTGTGAGCTGTAAGAAAATTGTATCTCATATTTATTTCATACATAAAAGCTGACATCTATGAAATAATTTAAATTTAGAATACCTGAGAAAGTTGCAGTTGCCTATTAATAAGCACTGTAATTGCACCGCTTAAAGCACAACCATTTACTTGAGAATTTCTATGAGTTTATAGCTACAACAATCTACACTCACTCAATTCAAAATGGAGAATGAATACAACCAAGCTTAGAGTCTGAAAAAGAAAAAAAGATGCTTACCTTAATGTCAAATATTCTGATAAAATATGACCTCTGTGGATTGTCCTTTACAAGGCAAGCTACACCACAGCATTTCTTTGACCACATGGCATTGCGATCTGCTGCATATATTTGAACAACTGCCGAAGACATCGTCTAAAAAGAAAAGGTAGCTATTACTTTTAAGTTAAAACCCACAAAATCTACATTTCATCTTTTAGCAAAGCATCTCTTAATTTTCTTCCTTGTTCCAGGCAGCAACTTTGACGATTTCCCAGGTGGTAACACAGTAAAGTTCAAATGACCCAAAATCACTTCTATGCAAGATTTAGAGAGCTTAAGAACCCAATGGAACTTTTTGTTCTTGTTCATAAAAATCAGCAAAGAGACTTTGCCTCTAAGAGGCAGACCAGTAACTATGGAGGTTACACAGCGAAGCCCTACTACACAACTAGACTTCTTTCTGTTCAGTAATTCAAACTGGATAGAAATGCAATACTCAAGCTAGAACTGTAAGTTACACAGTGCCTGGAAACACTCCCAGGTATTCAAACGCAACTCTCTACATTGCTTAATTGTTCAAATGGTCTCTGGCATGGTTTTAGCCTATGCCAACTAGCAAAATCCTAAAATTCTTGGGCATGGTTTGAGTATTCACATGAGTTAGGCTCATTCCCAGTTGGCAACTTGAAATCGTCCTGTTTTCAAATTGAGACATTTTAATAAGAGATGAAGATTATGCCACATCAGATTGCTTCAGTCACTAGGAATGTTCCTCACCATGTTTTCTAGTACATACGTGTCCTGTCCAATGAGGGAATGAAAACTGCAGCCTTTGAAGAATATTTATTTAGCAGCCAAGTCATAAGGACATAAAGCTTAAAGGCTCTGCAATGGGACAGACTAGAGGCTATCTAGTCCACGATCTACTCTCCAACAGCACCAGACGCCTGGGTAAGAATACAAGAGTACACCGTTGCACTATGGAAGTGTACCCCCTGCAACTGGCAGGTTGGAGCTCAAAGCTCCCCTGAGCCAGTATAGGTGTTTTATAGGACATGATGGATTTTTCCTTTGTGAATTTATCTAATCACTCTTCAGACCCATGTGAACTTCTGGGTATCACAACAGTGGGAAAGATTATATTTCTCAGTTTACTTATGCACTGTGGGAATAGTTAGCTACTTTTAGATAAGTTTGCTACCTGCTAGTATCAGTTGACTGTCCTTCCCTTGTTCTTACAGTAGGAGCCAGTGTTAATGGCCTCTCCACGCTGCACATGCTTTTATAGGTATTTGTCACATTTCTTCACCCTGTAAATTCTCTACTGTTTAGGAAGTGATACTAGTTTTAAGTCATTCTTGTACCAAGCAAAACAAAACAAAACAAAAAAAATCATTCTACTGTTAAATTAGCCTTGTCACTCGTATGGATCTCACCTAGTCCTACTCCATGCATCTTTGATTAGGGATGAGAATTATGCTGTATGATCCAGTTTGTTAGCCTTTTGAACACAGGGTCACAATAATATTGGTTTCTTTTTTGTTCTCGATTTCTTTCCCCGTAAGTCAAAGAGTTTTATTTCTTTTTTCACTATGGAACATTAAGTAGATGTTTTCACAGTCCTATTATGGTTCCAAGACCCTTCTAAAGGGATCATATCTATCCTGAGTAATGGGGTCCTTATTAGGTTTTCCCCAGCCACTCTGCAAGCATTACTTTGCCTTCATCAACACTGACTACTTGCCAAAACAGCTGACATCTAGTATGCAGGCATATCTTGTTGTATTATAAGATTATCTATTAAATATCAATATTACCCATGTCAAATTTTTCAACTGGTTTAAAATAATCAAAAGAATAACTCAAGTTTCATGGGATTTTTTTTTTTTTAATCAACAAAACTTCCAATTTTGTTAAAATAGAGTCAAGGTCATATAGCCAGACTAACAGCTACTCCTTGGGGAAGCTTTATAATCTTTGCCCAAGAACTCTTTGCAACCACCTCTTCTGAAGTTGTCAGACCGACTACTCATTTTCCTGGTAACCTGCAGAAAAAGTTAAAAGCATGACTAATTGATGAAAAGCAAGCTGTGCAGTTGCCTCCTCTGATGCTCTACAACCAAGTGTAGAGTAAAACTTCTCTCCCTATAACCTACAGGGTACTATGAATAATTTAATCATAACTGGACTTGTCAGATGAGTAAAAAGGGACCTTTGAACTGGCAATGTTACCACAAGGAAACAGTTAGCTAACATTAAGTTGCAGGTATAAGATATGCCGTTTTCCCCCTTATGTTGCAACAGGCAAAGACTTAATTTTGGGCACAACTGGCGAGATTTTGTTCAACACTTCTGCTAACAGCCTTTTCATTTCTCCAAAATCATCTCATTGTTAAACTGATCATCTCGTAGACATAAGACAACAAACGAGAGCAGAGGTGGGACATTCTACAGTTGAAACGAAGGCATCACATTCAACCACAGCAACTATCCCGCCGTGCAAGAAGCTGTCTCAACCCTCCAAAACAAGTCCAGCTCCACTAACCATCCCCCAACAGGACTACCCACAGAAATGGGGGGTCTTAGCAGGAATTATGCAACTTAAAATTCAAGGCACAGAAGACAGAGATCTGTGTCAAGAAAGTGCTCCCTATGTGTTGCTTCCTATTGCATCCAGCAGCAAAAGCACCAACTGGATTATCTGGGTGACGCAGTAACTGTCATAACTCAACGACTGCGTACAAAACCTTGAATCAGCACCCACCCCATGAGTAGACAGATGAATATTACACAAAAAGAGCGTGTCCTCATTCTGCATAATCATAATAGATTTAATGTACGCTTGGATATCCTATAAGTAGAGCTTAATTTACAAGTTAGAGAACTATTTCACTGAATCTAAAGCAGGTGTTGTTTTGAGGCCTACCAAGCTTAGAGTTCAATTACATTTTAACTTATTCATTACCATTGTGCAAATTCCTAGTGTTGACAGACTGTGATGAGGCTTTTGCATGTTAGAACATATAATTACAAATTCCACTGTTACACAACTACCATTTTTTATTAGAGGGACAATACAGGAAAAAATACAAGGTGAATTTTGGGGGGGGGAGAAGGATAATAAAATCCAACTCCTTTTCCTTCAGCCACTGTTCATTTTCATCATGCAGAGCAGTGTTGCCCTGCTTTATGCTATTCAGCTTGTGGAAGACAGGTGGCAAAAAGATTTAATCATCCACAGCCTTTGGAAACTTAGAGGCTTATCAGCAGAAGTTAAAACTTGTGAAAATATACGAACCATAAACTTCATCTACTGCTATTCATTATGAATCCTAGCCACATAAAATTCAATTTTTAAAAAGTCAACTTTAATTAAAGCATTGCAGCATCTGAGAACATTTACACAAACATCATAAGTTGAGTATTCTACTGCCTTTTCTGAATGAGCATTCACTTTGTCTATTTTGAAGCCGATGACTATACCCAGCTCAGTCTCTCACAACGTTCTTAAAGTGAACATTGCATTTAAAAGTATGGATTCTTTAAAATTAGGTGTAAATATTTCTCCACAAGAGGTCACATCACTGATTTCAGGCAGAACTGAACAGAACTGCCATTAAGTACTCAATGTAATTAGTGTATTTTCTCTAATATAGTAAGTTGATTTGTTACTTAACGTTATTACTGCATTTTCAGGAGGAGGATTTTGAGTTGGCCCTACTGCTTTGCTCAACAATTTTGGTGAGGACCTTGTCCTTTTTATATATCTATATATTTGGAAAAGATACACAGGGGAACGAAATAAGGTAGCCCACCAGCTACTGATGGGCCATGGAGATGAGAATCAAACCCCTCTCAGTTCCCTTTACTTTGTCCACAGTCAACCTCTGGCTGGAGGACGTGCCATTGATTCCAGGGACTTGTCACACCTCTCAAACTGATGAGCTGTGAAGCAATCAGGCTGGTGGTGTCAGCTGTATGCTGGCTGCCCCACTGGCAGAGCTGGTCTCATCCTTGGACACACATACTGCAGGGTATGTGGTATCAACAAAAGGATCATGAAAACACCTTCTGCCTGCAAAGGGTAGCCACAACTAGTCATCGCACATTTGTAGAATGTGATCACAGCAGCCACTGATGGTTTCCAACTGGGCAGCAGATAGCTGTGTACTTTGATCAGCTCCTGGTGTGAACATTCACTGCAGTTTTCTGACAAGTTAATGACTTGCTGTAACTCAATGTTTCTCAAAAACAGCAAAGCAAGCCAACACAGATAGTGGCACATCTCAATACAACAAAGAGCCATCGCACTAGATTGCTTATGGTTGACATGGATTGTAAAAAGCTAGGAAATTACAGGGAACTACAGACAGTAAAACACAGTGGACCAAAAGTCACAACAAAGAGCAGCAGCAAGACTGAGGCTGTTCAGCCACCTCAGCATACACCAGAACAGAAAGCATTTTAAGACCCATCGGGATGTTTTTTGTAGTGTTCACGTACAGCTGAAAACTGCTTGTGGTGCAAAGATCAAAGACTCACAAAATAACTTTGATTGGATGTGACCTCTATAAGTCTTCCAGTCCAACCTCCTGCTCACAGTAAGGGTAATTAAAAGCCAAGAGTTCAAGTTGCTCAAGGTCCTGTCCAGTTACGTTTAAAGGCTGCAAATCACCTTTGGGGAACCTGTTCCAGGTGCTTAATCACTCCAATTTTAGTGCTTGTAAAAATGCAACTAAGTTTAATGTATTCTTCTAATGGTTCAGCATTGTTACATGTTGACAGTACTACTGAAGACACACTAGCAGTGACATTCAATCTTTTTCCAATTTTAAGAGTCACAGTTTTTCCAATAAAGGTGCAGACCCTGGCATACGTACGTAATTTAATCCCATATAACAGGCTTGCTGCTCTTAGTTTTCCTTCCCAGTCCCTGGAAGTTTCTTACAAATAAAACTAGGGAAAAAAAAGACCTTGCCCTGTAATGTAAGAATACAAGTAGTAGCAGTTGTTTCCAAGCAGAGTAACCTCTTGGAAAAAAAAAAAACAAAACCATACAACAAACATGCTGATACAATGCCTGCAGCTTGTTCAAGAAGTCAGTCTGAAGACTTTCAGCCGGAAACTCACAGTGAACACAATTAGCTA